GAGGGAGGCGCGAGCGGCGCGCCGTGGTGGCGGACGGGCGAGGCGGAGGCGACGCTGGAGGAGAGGCGCGGTCGGGCGGCGTCCGGCTCGGCCCATATCGGCCCGGGGCGGGCCGGCCTCGGGCCCCGGCGGGCCGCGGCGCGATGAGGAGAGAGAGGCGTGGCCGGAAGGCGACGTGGTGGCGCGCTAGTGGCTCCGGGTGGCGGCGGTGCTGAGGTGGCATGACAAGATTGGTCGGAGTGGGGTGGCCGGGCGCGGCGGACGTGTCCGGCGGCGCGAAGAGAAAGTTTGCTAGGGTTTCATCTGCACGAATTTTCGGAGGAGAGCACCTATTTATAGGTAGAAGCAGGTGGGAGTGTCCAAATGAGGTGTAGTTTTCGGCCACGTGATCGTGATCCGACGACGGAGGACATGGAGATGGTTTGGAAGGGTTATTGGGCCATTTTGGAGGGGTGTTGAGCTGCAACACACACGAGGCCTTTACGATTCCCCGGTTAACCGTTGGAGTATCAAACGGACTTCAAATGGCACGAAACTTGACAGACGGTCTATCGGTGGTGTACCAAGGCCACTTGGCAAATTTCGGTCCATTCCGAGAACGTCTAACACCCGCACACGAAAAGAGACAAAAGGGGGCGCCGAAGGACGTAGGAGTGTCGGATTGCAAAACGGACAACGGGGAAAATGCTCGGAAGCATGAGACGAATACGTATGCAAATGTGATGGACATGATGACATGATATGAAATGCATGACATGAACAAAAGGCAAAACGAAGACAAAAACCCAACCACGAAGGGAATATCGTATCGCATCTTCGGAAAAGGCAAGAGTCAGAGTTATAAATATGGAAAGTTGTATCTGGGGCGTTACACACGGGCCCACCCCTGAAATTCATTGGGGGGAGAGGGGGAGGGGGTGATTAGTGTTTAGGAATTTACATAAGGCTAAGTAAAAACTGTTTGTAAGTGTAGTCGTCGCTAGGTGGTCTACGGATCTAGATGTAAATTTTACTTCTAATGTTTTTTATACTATCTTGACAGTTGATGAGTAGACCGTAAATTTCTCGTAAGAAAAAGTAAAAAAACTGTTTTAGGTGTAGCATTAGTGGTAAAATAATCTAAATAAATGATGAACCAAACACCCCATGGAGCTTGTCTCCACATAGGCATATTTTGAGGGCATCAACCGAACACTACTTCATGCTAGGAATATTCTCAAGCATCCCTTCTTGGTGATGCTGCTTAATACGCGGCAGATCGGAGACTCGGGCCTTCCGGGTAGACATGTCACATCTGAGCTGAGAAAAAGAAGAAATCGTGACCTGAGTGAATTATTTGCTGAAGTCTACTCTATACTGTTATCATGCATGCATGCATCATGCCTGTATTTAGTAGTATTTCCTTGATCGCTTGGCCGCGTCCCTGGAATCGACGAATGGGCAAGGGAATCTCGTTTCCATTTCTGGGGTGAGATGCCACTCGCCCCCGACTCCTGTCGCATTGCTGCCCCCTCGCCGCCACCGTCAGCGTCAACGTCCCGTAACGCCTATAAGACGGAAGCGCGCCACCGCAACCACCACCGCGGTTCCTACACCGACCCTTGCTCCGCACCAGGCAGCACGGCCGGAGTCCGGTCGTCACCCCACCCGACCTGACCGATGGAGGCGTTGCTTGCAGAGCTCCCCGCTGGGGGTGTGGGCGCGCTGGCTGCCACCGCCGTGGCTGTCGGCCTGCTGGCCGTGGCCGTCGCGCTCGCCGCTAAGGTTGACGTTGGAATGGGGCGCAAGAACCGCACCAACGCCCCCCCAGGTGACGATCACTCTCACCGACTCTCACGATGTGCGGCCGACGCCGTGGTGTTGTTGCTTCTTTTCTCTTCTAGCTAGCTCAATGCTATTGGGACTGGGAGGTTTTCTCGATAAATGCTCTTGGTTGCTACTGCTTGTTTGGTGTGATATACTCCTGCATTTCTAAATATAAGTCCTTTTAGAGATTTCAATATAAACTATATGAATGTATATAAAAGTTTTTGAGAGTGTAAATTTATTCATTTTTACTCTGTATGTAGTCTATGTTAAAATCTCTAAAAAGACTTATAGTTAAAAACGGAGAAAATAAGTTCCTTTTTGCACGAGTTTAAACCAAAAACTCTCGAAATACACGTAATCAAATTCAGTAAACAAAGATACATCTGTCTACTACACTATAAAGATCATTATGACAATTAGTTTATTGGCAACTTAAGATGTACTCTTCGAGGGTGAATGGACAATCACCAACTACGTTCTTTTTATAAGACATATATATAAGAGTTTTAGAGTGAAAAAAGTAATACTATGTGGTTTTCATCCATTTTCTGATAGACACGTTCTATCAAATATTATATTAAGTTAAATTTGTAGAGAACAAACGTTCTCCATGTATTCTTCTAGTGCAGGCCGGCCTGGGTTTGGTTCGCGGTCGCACACAAATGCAATGCATGATATCAACATGACGCGAGGTTCGTGCAGCACAGCATCACCCTGTAGTCTACCTATATAATTACATCACTATGAAATCCGAGTATCACTCATCGGCACATCATCACCCTGTAGTCTACCCATATAATTACATCATTGTGAAACCCGAGGGTCGTGTGATATGTCAAGCATAAGAGCTTTATTTGATTAATGGAAGAAAAATCGAATGGAAACCTATATAATAAATTTCAATAGAAACCATGCAACTCATCTGATCTGGGCACCAGTGAAGATTCAACACACCAATGTGAGACCCGACAAACCACTATGCTATCATCCATTGAATTAGTCAAGCAAAGTTATCTTTATTACCCATCACTCTTGATTTGATGACTTTGTATCCATCGCGGAAACCAACGATACTCCAATCACCAGGGCATAACAAGCCCCTTCGCCAGCCAAAATAGTTAGCCCAACACCGAGAACAAGGCAACTCTGGCTCTGGCGACGAGTCTCATGAGATTTTACATTTTATATTTATTTCCATTTTTAATACAAAACTGCACATTATTCAACACATCTCCTTGGTAACACCGCTTGTAAGGCTAATATGGCTCCTCGCTCATAGACCCATGTAGGAGCACACCAATTTATATAGTGGCAATCTTGGCTCAAACATGACCACTTTGGCTGCAGTGTTGGCTTTTAACCTATGGATGCACCATTGCCTCAAACCTGACCAGTTTCCTTGCAAAATTCCGCACTTGTATGTGTTTGCATGTTGAGATATTAATATTCCATTAAATGGAGGCCACATGTAAGCTTAGACAATGCTGAGTTTATTGTTGTTGCTTGGAGGCGGTTGTGCAAAGTGTAGGGAGGCAACCTCTAACCCTTAGAGGCAGCATGAGAGGTACGCAAATCATACATTATGGATGCTCTAAGATAGCCAATTAGATGCCATGTTGGTACGTTATGCCAGGAAACAATTCAAAATCATATCTAACCCATTTTGAACCCGAAGTAAACGAGTTTGTTTTTCCAAAATCCTAGAATTATATTGCAAACAAAATGATAACTTCTTCATATTTTTCTTGAACTCCTAATTTTTACTTAACTGAATCAAAGTGCATTATAAACTATAATTTTTTATGGAATCTATATTCTATGTTATTTACTATTTTGGAATTTGATTGAAAATTGAGGATTATATTTGATTGGATTATGTGGTTTTAAATATATTTAAATTAAGCTAGAATCAAAATGTGAAACATAAAATTAAATATCACAAATTACTATATACACTAAATCTATAACTTTTGGAACAAGTATCATTTAACTTTTGGGATGATATATTTGTTAAAATTCTTCTATAACATATGTTCCGAATAAGAGCACTAATTAAGCATTTCAATATATGTCCTCCATAGGAGCCTACATTAACTACTTGTTTAGATCAAATTGTGGCTCCTCTGAACTTCATACCATGAATACTAGTTTAACTAGAACCAGAAAAACACGCATTAGGAACATCAATAGCGTTAGCATTAGCTTCCTTGCCTTTGCATACCTTTCCTCACCCCTTTAATAAAAGATATATGTTTTGCAAGGGATGGCCAATAACAAGATGAACCCAAATGCCCAATCTTTCCAATAGTATTCCTTACTCATGAATTGATACGCTTGTTCATGGCATCGTTTATGTCCATGGTACCATCATACATACCTTCTACTGTTAACCCTATGAGACAGGGCTTTGATAGGCCAGTCAATCCCCTCTTTCTTTTAGGTTGTTTAGGACTTCCTCAACCAACTTTATCCCCGAGAAAGCCTTTCCGAGATTTAAAGAAGGTTGATCTCTTTGAATATTGATAGTTCATAATCAGCAAAATAAGCAGTGGTAAGCAACTAATAATCTCGATGCAGGACTGTTGTTCCCATAGGCCCCTCCTGGAAAACCTTCTTTCGCAAAAAAGGGTTGAAAGGGCTTGTTCCCACTAGGAAGACCAAAGATCTTGCGCGGAAGGTCCGCCAGAAAAACTCAAATGGGAAATAACTGCCATTATCTCTTCATGATTAGTCCAAATTTGAAGTACCTTTTGACCAAAGAAAAGCCAGCTTCTTGACACAATTGCCTCTTTACCTTTATATAGGTAGATTCTAGGGATTATTACCTAGTAAGTCTATTTTGTACAAGAGCCTCTCCTATCCGATAGAAAGGGTCCCATGAACCCGAGCCAATGCGCAAGGCTGGACTCGAACAAAGGGGCCTCATCATCAAGAATTTGATCTTTCTCTGAATCATCTACCAATGGTTTGTTGTCAATTGCAATTTGTGTTGGCCAACTCCGGTGCCTATAAGTAAGAAGTATCTGTATTGGCAAGCTAATAGTTTGAGCAAAACCTTACAGTTGTTTTGCCACAAAAGTTTGTCAGTATTATTTTTTACTAAAAAATGTTGTAGGGGAGACCCCTGTAAAAAGCTTGTTTTTTGAATAATAAGAATTCAAATTCACATCCATGAGGATTTCAATCCTGGTGGCTGGGTTGTTCATCTACGCCGCTAGCCACATGAGAGCCAGGCTCGCTTTTTTTGCAGCATTTATTGCAATACTACATTTTACAAAACCTTGGGAATTTTGTCCATGTGTGTCAAACCTTATAAATATTTTATCTTCACCACATTTGCATTGATTGCCCCACACTGATGTAAGGATAGATATCTATATTGTTCAGAACTAATTAACAGCAAACAATTCTAGACAATCTCCTTTGACTTAAGTCTGCATGAAACAATTTCTATATGAACATATGATGCTTGATACAGGCTGAACTACTTGTGACATGGGTAATTGTGGTATTCCGTAATAGCCTAATTTTGATGTTATGAGATTATTTGAGTCTAACGGCTCCATCTCTCCATTATCCCTCAATTGCAGTTATGGATGCCAGAAAATTGCAAAGAGCCGTTCGTATATGCTATATGTATGGTATATAGCCTTGTCCGAATAAAATTTGTTAGAAACTAAGAAAGAGAAATAAAATGATTTCCATGTTAATTTATTTGGATGGCCTAAAATTTTATCATCTATGCGGGAGATATATCGTACTGACATATTTCAAATACTCCCTCCATTTCTGTATACAAGGCCACATTTCAAATACTCACAATATGGAAATACTGACACATGGAGTATATTGACACATGGAGTATCAAGTATGCAGTTTAAATAACAATAAATTCTACTTTGAGGCCAACATTTATTCGTGTCTGGTTTTATTTAATTGATATGCAGTGGTTCCTGGTTTGCCGATTATTGGAAATCTACATCAACTAAAAGAAAAGAAGCCCCATAAGACTTTTGCAAAATGGTTTGATATTTATGGGCCAATATATACAATAAGGACAGGGGCATCTTCGATAGTTGTGCTCAACTCAACAGAGGTAGCCAAGGAGGTAGGATGGAAACTGTGATCTTCCATCTTTGTTAAATTCCTTTGAGCATTTGTATGTTACTATGTCGAACTACCTACTATCTTTATTTGGGTAATTGCGACAATTTGACGCTTTGGTCAGCTGACCATGATTTGGTAATATTGTGTGTAGTCTGCATTTATCATATTTGTTTGTATGTTCTTGTTGCGATTATGCTTGTACTATTTCTTTTGAATGGCAATATAATAAAAATAAACTTTCCTGGAGTCTTTTTTGAACTCAAACTCTAACCATAGATCAATAAGATGTTATTGTGCTTTATATTTCCATCATACTGGTGATAAATCAAGGATTTTAATGAGTTGTGAATTGATCTCTCTACATTCAGACTACCCAGATAAAAACTAAGCTAGTAACTCACAATATGCATATAGTTGTTGTATGGTCACCAGGCGGTTTGTTTTTGGTTCCCAAGCTACGCCGAGCTCTTATTTTTTAAAAAATAAAAATAAAATGCACCTCTATGTTTTAGAAACTTAAAAATAAAACATGTGTAGATCTGAGAATACATTAGAGATGAGTAAAATTGCATAGAAAAAGTTTTCTTGTTTCGAGATAAGCAGAAGAAAAATGATGAGCTATCTATAGTTGCGAGAATAGAGACGTGAACTAGGAGCACTCGGCGACGACACTCACTGGAATCTCACCCGCTGCTCTGTTGTCGAGGGATTGGTGGACAATTAGATGAAATGAATTGTTGTTGTTTAATAGATCCGTTCAGGGTCGATTGGCACAGTGCATAACTGTTTGCCGACAATAAATTAGGCCCAAGCCTGGCAGTATTGTTTCTCAAGCAACATGCATGACTAGATCAGCTACACGTAGGGGTAAATATCATGTGCTCCCAACAACTGCATGCTCCCATGCTCCAATTTTTAAAGCAGTAATTATAAGTGTTTCAAAACATTCTGAAAAAACTTGTGAATGTTCACAAGACATAAGTCTACATCCTCTGAAAATTTCAGATCCAAATGCGAAATATACATTGAGAAACAAAAAAAGAAAAACTGAACATAAATAGTGTCACAAGAAGACAAAAGCTAAAATGGCACTATTCACATGAAGATTTCTCTTTTTAGTTTCTCATTGTTTATTTCGATTTTGGATTTGAAAATTTTAGATTATCTAAACACATGTCTTGTGAACAACCTCCAATTTTTTTCGGAATTTGTTGAAACATTTAAAATTATCATTTTAGACATTGGAGCATGGGAGCATGAAAGTGTTAAGAGCACTGGATATGTTCTCCCTCAAGAGAAAAAGCTCCATACGCAGCCATTGAATGCTGACATGAGAAGCGACTTTTTGACGCGTCATTGACTGATGCGTGTAACTGTGGATGGAGTAAATGGCTAGTGGGTGAAAATGTGTTGTGTGGGAAAAAGTATATAGTGGGTAGAAAGAGAAAAATTACCATGCATTATGAGAATCAAATTGTAGTGTAACTTGTGTTTATTAAATGCTGGTGCATAACTCCTTACTGGATTAGTGGACGGATGAGCACAAATACGAATTAAGATTAACCATAAAGAGCATTGCTCTTGGAATTACATAGTACTGATAATCATGAGCTTAACACGATCCTGGGGACGACCAGGTGATTGGAAATAAAAAAAATACATAGTAGTACCGGTAATCCTGAGGCAAAACTCGGTTGAGTTACTTTGGAATAAAAATTACATAGTACTAAAACTCTTTCCGGCACCGTCGGCGGCAACATCATCAGCTTCAGACTTTCAGGCGCCTTTGAGCAGAAGAACAGTACAACAAGCAGGAGCGTCTCTGCATTGAACATAGCACCGGATGGTTGGGCTCTAGTACAGAACCCTCTGAGAATAAAGCCATAATTACATACGAGACACGGCAGATATACGAGGCAATAACTGAGGGCGATACAGAGAGGCTAATATAGTGGCTGTTGATCCCGAGGCAAGTGGGTGGGTATGATTTCAGTGGGCGTCATCGCCGAGTACTTCTATGCAATTTCGCGGGAATAGTGTTTTTATGTCAATATTTGTCTTTTATGCCCAGACCATGTCTGAAATTAATTTTTCCATGAAAGTAGTCATATACTGCATTATACATGTACGTGTTACGTTTCTTCGACTTTTATGATACTTATAAAACATACACTTTCTGAAATTTTCAAATGAAAAGCTTACTGGAGCTCCCCCAAAACTCCTCTCGGTCATGGATGCTTTGTTCTTGACTATTACTATTGGATAAGATGCAAAACTAAGCAATGTTAGCAGCATGGTAAAAATGTATCACATTTGACATGGGAAGCATATTATGTCCCTGTATTTGCAGGCAATGATTGAAAAATTCTTCTGCATATCTACTCGAAAGCTATCTAAAGCGTTGTCTGTGCTCACTCGTGGTAAAACCATGGTTGCTACCAGTGACTACGGGGAGTTCCACAAAACGGTGAAGCGTCATGTTATGGCGGCCGTGTTGGGTTCTTCTGCTCAGGTAAAAGTCTTAACACTTCCGCAACGATACAGTTTAGTTACCAGGCCTCCTCTAGGATTTCAGTTAGGTCTAACGGTGACATACTTTGGATATAATTTAGAGAAAATTCCGGAACACAAGGGACATGATGATGGATAACATGCTGAGCAGTTTTCATACGTTGGTGAGTGGTGACCCACATGCTCCTCTGAACTTCAGAGAGGTCTTCAAGGTCGAGCTATTCCGCTTGTCCTTGATACAGGTTGGTCGACGACATGGTTTTCTAGTGTGGTTTTACCCAGTGCAACATTTCCTGAATTTGTACCTTCATAACTGAGAATGCACACTGCAATTACAGAGTTTGGGTGAGGATGTGGGTTCGGTTTACGTGAAGGAGTTTGGAAGGGAGATATCCAAGGATGAAATCTACCAGATCACCGTGGTCGACCTGATGATGTGTGCAATCGATGTCGATTGGAGGGATTTCTTCCCATACCTCAGCTGGATTCCGAACAAGAGCTTCGAAACAAGAGTTCTTACCACAGAATCTAGGCGAACGGCGGTGATGCAGGCGCTAATCCATCAACAGAAGAAACGAATTGCGCGCGGCGAGGTGACACGAATGCGTACTGACAGTATTGTCCTTGTGTGATTCGTCTATGTGTTCGGCTAAAAATTGCTGTGGTACGCAGGCAAAGGTGTCCTATCTGGACAGCTTGCTGGCAGAGAACACGCTGACAGACGAACAGTTGACGATGCTGGTGTGGGAGGAGGTCATAGAGGCTGCAGATACCACGTTGGTCACTACCGAGTGGGCTATGTATGAGCTTGCCAAGAACCCAGATAAACAGGTGGGCACTACCTGCTGCAACTTAATTGCCACTCTCTCGGTTTTGTATCCTACTCATTCTGAATGCCGCCGCGAGATGCATTGTTAACCAGATTTTTCTTGGCACGTTAGGATCGTCTCTTCCGGGAGATCCAAGATGTCTGCGGCGACGAGATGGTCACCGAGGACCATCTGCCGCGGCTGCCGTACCTGAACGCGGTGTTCCACGAGACGCTGCGGCGCCATTCTCCTGTTGCACTGATACCTCCGAGGTTCGTCCATGAGGCCACCAAACTGGCCGGCTACGACATCCCAGCCGGCACTGAGGTAATTCATCCAAGAAATGGCATCGATCTAGATTGCCTGCTGACCATGGATTTCTGAAAGAATTTCTCTACTGTGCTAGATCATCATCAACCTGCACGGATGTAACATGAACAAGAACGATTGGGAGGAGCCCGAGGAGTGGAGGCCGGAGAGGTTCCTGGACGGGAGGTTCGAGGCGGCGGACATGTACAAGACCATGGCGTTCGGCGTCGGGAGGAGGGTCTGCGCCGGAAGCCAGCAGGCGACGACCATCTCGTGCGCCGCCATAGCGCGGTTCGTGCAGGAGTTCTCCTGGAGGCTCAGGGAGGGCGACGAGGAGAAGGTGGACACCGTGCAGCTCACCAGCTACAAGCTCCATCCGCTCCACGTGCATCTCTCGCCGAGAGGGAGGAAGTGAAGGGCAGTTTTGCTGTTCTTTAAAGAGGAAAATTGGTAGTTTTGCTCTTCAGAACTTTGCCAAACAAGATCGATCGTACTCCCTCCGTCCGGGAAAAGTTGTCCAGAACGCAGTGTAATGTTCTTTTTGCAAAACAACCCTCGAAATTTGAAAACTGTCTGAAGTAGATACCAGTCTCCTTCTCCTCCCTCCGCCCGTCCTCCTCCCGTCGCCAGGGGCCGGCGCGGTCGGATTCCGCCGCCGTGCTGGCGATTCCGGCGATCGCAGACACCCACGAACACCCGCGCCGCCCATCCGAGAACAGCTGCCCATTGATTCCGCCGCCCATCGGAGGCGAGCTGGTCCCCGATTCCACCGCGCGTCGCCAGGACCAACCGCCGACCACCTGCGCGATTCCGCCGCCGCCTACCTGCGTGATTCCGCCGGCCACCTAAGTGACGGAATCGCCCACCCGACGGTCACCGAGCTGGTAGCCAAACGCTCTTTCCCCGCCCCCGCCTCTGCTGCTGCTACGAATCCAATCACCGGCCCCGCCTCTCGTAGGCATTCCGCCGCCGCCTACCTGCTGGACGCATGAAGATGTTTGGAAACAAACAATCAATCATTTTTTGGAAGCAAATTAACAATCCATTTTTGGAAACAAACAATCAATATGATTCCACCAGGTTCCTCGAGATTGGAGTATATTTCCAAATAATTTCAGTGCACAATCAATCAATTTTATTTTGGAAAGAATCAATATGATTCCACCAATTCCTCAAGTCTGGAGTATATTTCCAAATATTTTCAGTGCACAATCAATCAATTTATTTTGGAAACAAATCAACGTTCCACCAGATTCCTCAAGACAGCAGTATATTTTTCAAAACAATCAATCAAATGTTGTAGTCTTGACCAGGAGAATAACATTTTCAATCAAAAAGTTGCAGTCTTTATACATACGGTTTTCTTCAGTTAGTCTTATGGGTCATCCAAAAAATGGTTCATTGGAACATTCTTGTTGACTGCTCCTTGTGGTCAAATTCCAAATTATTGTAAGGAGTTAACTGAATTTAGTTTCGATAAAGTTTACAGTAAAGCCAAATTAACTGAATTTTCAGTAAATTTAACAACAGGAATTTTCTTGCTGGCATATCTGAGAAACTCTAATTTTCTCACAATTTATCTGAGAAACTCTAATTTCTCACGATTTTTTTGCACTGCAAATTCACACTGGCGTTGCAAATCGTCAGGTGTAGTACTGGCATTGCTTTGCAAATTCACCCTATATAATCCCTCATGACAGTTAGATGGAGTAGCACTCTTGATTAACAGGACAAGAACATGGTGGCAACACTGTTAGATGGAGTAGCAACTAACAGGGTGTGTTTCAGAATTAACAGGAACATGGTGCATATCTAGACTTTGTGTACTCTTGATTGCGGTGATTTTGGTAGATAATGTACTCCAGCAACGACATCTAGACACACAAAATCTTCAGATCCTACTACTCCACATGTACTCCAGAAATCACAGTTTCAGAATTAACAATCTGACATTAAGAGTTAAGATTTACTGAACTTGGTGAAGGTAGATCAAAATTTCAGTGTGGCACTGAATTTGTAAACATCTGAAGTACAACACAGGATATTGACAGTAAATAAATTAGGCTAGATTTTGGACACATTTTGTGCAATCACTGAACTACAATGGACAATTTTGTTAGCTAGCAGCTCCTGAAGGAATACCTGTCATTGGCCTGAATAACCTAGACCTGCCCACCATTGAGGAAGCATAAGTTAGCAGATGAGTAAATGTTGGTGTTGGTTTGGATAATCAGAGTTATGACCAAGTTGCAAACATCAGACATCACATTTGGTACTGCAGGCACTAATGACTGAACATCACATTGCAGCGAGCTATAACAATTAAATCACTGAACTAGCATCAAAACCTACTATAGTCCTGCAGGCACAAAAAAGGAAGGGGAATGCTAAAAATAGCAGCTTGTTGAGCTGGATCGTCAAGTTCAGGAATTTGCAGAGAGGTTCAATGCAATTCTTTGCAAACTGAATTTCAACATTTTTCCCGTGAAGCACAAAGATCACATCAAGCACAAGCACAGCGGGGCAATATCAAGCGATTGGGACGCGGCATGGGGCTGAAAGGGGCAAAGGGCCTGACCTTATCGTCAAGGACAAGCCACAAGCGCGCCACGGCCTTGCTCTGCCTCCGCATCCGGCGGCCCCGCACGGCGATCCCGAGCAGCGCGATGGCGACGGGCACCGACCACGCGCTCCTCGCTGCGCGCGTCGCCCACAGTAGCAGCACCTCCACGGGAAGCCTCCACCACGGCGCCGCCGCCGCGGCCCCTCCCTTCGCACCGCACATGGTGACCTTGACGGCGTTCGCGAGTTCGTTAACGCACCGCAGCATGCCGGCGTGCGCGCCAATGCCGAAGGTGACCTCCTTTGCCGCATACTCGCGCATCCACTTCTTCTGCTCGGCCCCGCCGCCGCAGCGCCGAGGAGGAGGACCTGGAAATGGCCGCCGCCGAGTAGATC